GAAGTGCATAACTTCAATGTTTGTTATAAGTGCCAGGATAAATAGTTTTTTGCCATCAGATATCATATTTAAAAATTGGTTAATTGTACTATAGCTACTTTTATGTTGATAGTGCTAATATTTTGATCTTTTGCTTAACATTTATTTATTTATTTTTTTGTTGGTATTAATTTTCGATCATATTGTGACTAAAAAATATATATCGATTTTTTTTACGTACATATGATATAGGAACTGGAAAGACTACTTGTATTGTGTTTCGACAGATTGCTTCATATCTTATGAAATCCAGTCATAAGCTCTACAAGGCACCATCTTTACACACCAATGACATAAAGGAGAATGTTTTTAATAAAAGACAGATATTCATTACCGTGAGTCCTACTCTGTGCACTCGTGTAAAAAAATATTTCGATCGATTACGAGAGTCTGCTATTCTCGCGGAGAAAAAAATGTCATTTACACAATTTTACGAATACACAAAAAAGAAAGAAGAGGAAAACATCAATAATAACCAGCCTGAGAATTCATTGATTGAGGAGGATGATGAAATGAAAATACTAGGCGACATCCCAAACTCGTTCCATCAACTAACTGATGATCATTTTCCATTGTTTATAAATTACGAAACATTTTCTCAAATGCTCGAAGGATCATATGAAATTGATGTCAATAAATTATGGAAGACAAAACAGCAGGAATTTAATACAAATAATGTTGATGAGGATGAAGAATACAACCCTAAATCCTCTTTTGTCGATGCATCTGAAAAGTCATGGGCTCATTTTATAACCTTTGACCTTTTCGAAAAAAAGTATTGGAATCATTTTAGTTATCATTATAGGCGAAAATTAGATCCCGCATTGGTTTATGCAGAATTCTCTATAATTAAAGTATATAATCAAAGTATATGTTTGTATATAAAACATAATAATTATCAAGCATTTAAACATTTCTTTTTTTAAGGGATTAAATCCAAAAGATGACTATTTATCAAGAGAGGAATACTTGTCCGTTGATTCTAAAAAATATCCTATATTTTACGACCGTGACGAAATTTATAACCTGTTTGAACGATATGAAAAAATGAAAAAGCTTAATTACGACTATGATTCAATAGATCGGTAAGACCTAGTGATACATTATTCTTTTAAATTCTTACTCTCTTAAATTCTTACTCTCTTGAATTCTTACTCTCTGAATTCTTACTCTCTTGAATTCTTACTCTCTTGAATTCTTACTCTTTTGAATCTTACTCACTTGAATTCTTACTCTTAAATTCTTACTCTCTTGAATTCTTACTCTTAAATTCTTACTCTTAAATTCTAAATTCTTACACTCTTGAATTCTTACTTTTAAATTCTTACTCTCTTAAATTACATTATATATTTTATTACAGAACACGAGCTATCTTGCGTTGCGCTAAAAGGAAGGCACTTGGTGGTCCACATATCCACGAAGTATATATTGACGAATGTCAAGATAATCAGATTGTTGATTTTTCGCTTATTTTTAAGCTTTTTGATCGAGCTGATAGCATTTTCCTGGCCGGAGATACGGCACAATGCATTGCTCGAGGCTCCTCTTTTCGCTTC